CCTCTCTGTAAAAAATCAATAAAATATATTTTAAAAAAAAACAATTAGCCCAGTTTATTAGTGTGTGTTTATTAATATTTATTCATGAATGAATCATTACCTTATTAAGTCATCATTTGTACTTAATGCTGTTGACCAGGTCTTTCCTTTATCAGTCTTGATGACATAAAGAGAAAGAAGGCAGCTAATCAATCTCTGTGTTTCCATACTTAAGACCATGTTTGTTTAGAGAGTCTTCTGCATTTCTAAGATTTGACTCACTAGGAAGAGATGCCATTCTTTTATATATATATATTTGTTGATTTCAGAGAGGAGGGGAGAGAGGGGGAGGGAAGGAGAGAGGCATTGATGATGGGAGAGAGTCAGTCATTGTTTGGCTGCCTCCTGTGTGCCCCAGATTGGGGGTTGGGCCCCCAACCTGGGCATGTGCCCTGATCGGGGAATTGAACCATGACCTCTTGGTTCATAGATCGATGCTCAACCCCTGAGCCACACCGGCCGGGTGAGATGCCATTCCTTAAAGTCTCTGTACTTGCTGAATTAATGCTTATTGATGAATATTCCTCTTATTAAAAAAAAAATTAGGTAGTAGGGGCGGGCTAGAAGGGATCAATGGGGGGAAGAAGGAATATATATAGGTGTTACCTAGTTAAAATATGGTGTTCTTGTTTTTTGTTTTAAGAAAAACATGTTATTTTATTTGTAAGAAAAATAAACTTATATGTTATTTTGTTTTGTTGGAAAAAAAATAAAGAAACCTCTCAAGATAAAAAAAAAAAACACAACCCAGGGTACCCAGTGAAAACGGCATCTTATCTAATAAAGAGGGAATATGCAAATTGACCATCACACTGTAACATTCAAGATGGCTGCACCCACAGCGGAGGCTGAGTTCCTGTAACGAGCCTTAACAAGCAATCAGCACGGACCTGAGGCTGCAACCCCTGCCTGGTGGAGCTTGACAGGATCTCAGGCCCTGCCCCCCACCCCAGCACAAGGCCGGGGGACCTCAGGCCATGACCCCCACTCGCAGAACTTGACAGGGAACCTCAAGGCGCGCCCCCCCGCCCTGGCACTGGACCGGAGGACCTGAGGCCGCATCCCCCGCTCCAGTGTCGGGCTGGGGGACCTCAGGCCACACCTCCTGCCCCAGCGCCGGGCCAGATGACCTGAGGCCACGTCCCTGGCCCAGCGGGGCTTGACAGGGGACCTCAGGCCGCACCCCCCGCCCGGTGGGGCTTGAAGAGGGTGGGGCCGGCTGGGTCTGGATCTAGCCCAATGGGGGTGGGGCCAGCCTGGTCTGGGTCTCGCGCAATTTCGAGGTGCACGCGGGTGGGCAGGGACTTGACTCTGGATCCCGCAGAGTGCCCCAGACTCTGGCAAGAGGAAGATTTTCATATACATTTTACTAATTTTCTTTCATCTCTGACACTTCTATTATAGAGAAAGGGCAAATAGCAATATTAAAATATTTCCTCTAATTAATTTTCTTTTAATGTGCATGAATTTTGTGCACCGGGCCACTAGTTTCAGATAAACAATGTATTTTAGTGTCACCATGTCCCATTCAATATTTGGGATGTATGTTTACTAGAAATGTATTTGTTGTTTATCTAAAATTCAAACATAACTGAGCATCCTATATTTACTCCAGCAAATCTAAAATGAAGATCAAGGATGAAATAGTTTTCTGCAATATTTATTACATCATTATGTCAGCTTATTAGTTATCCTTCACCAAGGTTGTGTGTTTTTTTTAAATTGTGGGGAGTCTAATGACAGTCAAATCTCATTAATTCCAACTTTGCTGATTTAGAATTTTTGATGGCTTATGCAAGGGTTCTGCTAAAGTGCACCCATTTGTCATTCATAGTACAAACAAACCTGAAAGAGAACTATTTATCTCCTTGGGAGACTACAAATAGTGTAATTACAATGTAGTCAGAGGCTATCGTTATTTGGACTGTACTTTTCATTTAATAATTATAGATCATTCTGTCATCTATTAAAGCAAGACAAGACTTTACCAGGCACAGTCAGGTGCAGCTGCCTCAGTCCCCATGGCCCCTTGCATTCCACCTATCACGGATACACAGTCCGTTGGGCTCTCTAGATTCTAGAACCTCACACAATGCTTGCTACAAAGCACCCTATAAATGGTTGTTAGTTGCATTCATGAATGAATGCTAATGACACATGTTAAAATAATCAAACTGTCTTTGTTGCTAAACATCTTACATTTTAAATTCAAAAAATGATTTGAGTTGGTCTCCCCCCTTATTCCAAAGTTCAGTTCATAAAGGGATTCTTTGGTAAAGTTAGTTTCATTGCACACTGGGAGGCTAGCACTGAGAACATGCTATTGAAATTCTGAAAGTGTTTTATGAGGAGAGAGAGAGATAGAGAGGCACTTACAAAGTCATCCTGAGCACCCTTCTGAGCATTCTTCTAGTCTAGGACTATGGGTCTCAAACATTACCAGGCTGCTAATGATGTTGGCAAGGTTTAGCCTGCGGTTTTCCTTACTTGCCCCCATTTTCCATGATCATGAACATACACACCTGCACGCACGCACAAATACATTTCTGTATATCTTCCAAAGAGATGGAAGGGGATTCTTTTGATTGGATACCAAATATGGCAGTCGCTGACAAATAATACATTAATAATTTAAAACAAACATGTAGACATTAACACATTCTAAACCACATTGTAATATTAGAGACCACTATATACAAGCCAACTGAAAGACCCTTCAGTCTACCACTCTTTTTTTTATTATTGTTTTTATTTATTTATTTTTAATATATTTTATTGATTTTTACAGAGAGGAAGGGAGAGGGATAGAGAGCTAGAAACATCGATGAGAGAGAAACATCGACCAGCCGCCTCCTGCACACCCCCCACTGGGGATGTGCCCCCAACCAAGGTACATGCCCCTGACCGGAATCGAACCTGGGACCCCTCAGTCCACAGGCCGATGCTCCATCCACTGAGCCAAACCGGTTAGGGCAAGTCTACCACTCTTGAGGGAAGTGAGGCCTGAGTGGCTTATACATGGGCCAGAATCTCTATGGCTAGGCAATGGTCGGCATCCGGTCTTGGAAACATACTCAGATGAGGCTTGTTCTCAGTCTCTACCTGTGGCTTCTTTCTTGTCCATCTCCTCCAGCAGAGAAAGGAGTGATGGGAACCCGGAGACTGGGAATGAAGTCTCCCTCCCTGTTGCTAATCCTTCGCAGTCTTTTCCCTAGCAGTCCAGCAGCCTTCAGGAGGACAAGCTGAGTACAGGTCCGTGGTTCTCAGATGTGATCCTTTCTTTTTGGAGAGTTGAGTCACGGCCTGATGATCCCTTTTGTTTTCCCTTCTCTCACAGCACCCTGGAGGGGTATTACATGGATGATGCCCTGCAGGGCCAGGGAGTTTACACCTATGAGGACGGAGGGGTGCTCCAGGGCACCTATGTGGACGGAGAGCTCAATGGCCTGGCCCAGGAGTACGACACAGACGGGAGACTGATCTTCAAGGGACAGTACAAGGATAACATTCGGCATGGACTGTGCTGGATATACTTCCCAGTAAGCCCCGTGACTGCTCATTTTGCTTTAAGACAAAGCTTTTACTCTTCACAATAAAGAGTCAAATGTATTCTCTACGTAAGAAAATGTGAAGCTGTGAAACTTGAGAGCGAAGCCAAGAGTGTGGGAGCTACGTCCTCTCACTGTTATTCCCTTCTGACCGAGGTTGTTGGCCCTTCCATCTACCAGGAATTCCTTTTCAGCATTGTTTTGGAAAAGAGTGATTAATCATGATTAAAGCAAGTTGAGACAAATTGGTTGTATTATATTAATAAAGATGAAAATATATTATTTCTTAAAGTCTTTGATACAGTATAGAAAGAGATGGTGGAATATTCCGCTGTTGCATTTAATTTTATTCCATTGCTCAAATGTCAGAACTAATCCAGCAATTTCTCATCTTTTTGGAGTTTACTAAAGCAAAAAGATGTGGCAAAATCTCCGGTTGGGAATTAATACTCTTATCTGTTGTTTGCATTTCAAATACCCCATCTGTTGTTGGTGAGTTTCCAGAAAATTGTTCAGAAAATAGACCTTAGAAAATATTTCATCTAATGTTTTATTTTGTCCAGAGCTTCAGTCAAAATACATTTTTTTCTTACCCTGAACTCTATCTTCTTATGATTAAAAGGTATTCATAAAAGTTGTCTGTTACATGTGTAAGAAGAAAAGTAATCCTGGCTAAATCTACTTACACATTATTGTTCTTAAAATGTAAGTTATGTTCTAGAAACCGGGCATAAGGAAAAAACATGTAAAATATTTTTTTTTATAATTACTGAAGCCTTTACACACGCTCTTAGTAGGCCCTGCAATAGATCATAAGTCCTTTAGTTCCTGCCTAAAGCGGCAGGAAGAGGGAGGTGGTGGAGGCGCTTGTCCCGTAGAGAGACTAACACTGTCCTGCTTTGGGAGGAGGCAGAGTGAGTGTCTTGCTGCCGATGTGACAAGGATTTTTGAAGCCAGGGAAAGTGGACCGCCCTGCATGCGGATGGGTGCAGGGAAGAGCAAACTATGGATTAGCAGATTCTCCCGCTACCTGTCATTTTACTCGTGACTGTGATCAGTTAAGTCCCTAGGGGACATAGAAGTTGCACTAAGTGAACAGGTCTACCTTACTCCATGCAGTTGCATTTTGAAACCTAAATGTGCAGCTACATTTTACCCCTATCCTCTTATTAAATAACAAGAGAAGACCCTGCCTTCGGAGGGAAGCCCTGGAGAGTGACAAGCTTGCACAGGGACTTGGTTGACAACACTTGCTTTCTCTCTGGTGTTGGTTGGCAGTGGAGGGCGCTAATCCCACCCCAGGCCTCTAAGAAATAGGCGTAAGTGGCAGGGATGTGGGCTTTATTATGGCAGTGTGGGATTGGAGGTGTGGTGTGGGCTTCTGCCTTCCCCTCTGAAGTGAGCACATGGATCAGCCGCAAACAGAGCAGCTAGGAAGCTATAGGTTTCCCTGGGGGAGCAGGGCCTGCCTGGGGCGCTTCCCCAAGGGGAAGGGGGCTTGATGCTGTTAACCCCTTACCCAACAGCGATATGGGTGTCAAAGGGTGTCAGAGAAGAGGAGCCATTGAGCAACACTCCCTGACACAGCAGAGGAGAAAGTTCTGGTGACACAGTCCAAGCAGGAGCAAGGGGAGGAAAAAACAATGATTCTCCCTGCAGTATTTATAAGCTCACTCTAAGGACAGTTTCTTTCAAAATTTTACCTTGGAACAGTGATGCAGAGTTTTTAATTAAAAATTCATAACCCCTTTAGGAAATAAAAATCTCTGCTTTATCAATCCAGGAAAAAATTCACTTGCCTCCAAAACCAGACGCTTAAAGCATTTAAGAGAAAAAATGGTGAGACCCTAGCAAGACAGAATAAATAGCAATGTTGGCTTTTATTCATTTCGGCCTGTACGAAGCACGAACACCCTAACACCCGTCAGTCATCACCAAAAGCCTGAAGACAGATTTTGCAAAAAATATCATTCTCCTTATGCTGGGTCGTTAAAAAGTGACTCGGGGAGGAGAAAGAGCAATACTATATCCCTAATGCACCTTCTACCCGGGAAAAACACTTCCAAGTACTGTTCTTTGTATGGAAGTGCTGGGGTTCGTTTTTTAAATTCATAACCTTTTTTCTCCAAAGAGCAATTAGGCTTCAGGGAACTGTACACCATGTCCCCGGCATTACGCGTCCTCCCTCTGGCTCTCAGTAAGAGCAGCATGGGGGTCACACAGAAGTCACCCTACATCACTGACTGTGGGTGGCTGCTCCTAGAACCTCCCAGTTGGGGAAATAACCAATGTCTGGTATTACTGTTGTTATATCAGACCCACCAAGGTCTTAGATTTTCAAAGTCACCCCATCAGGACCTTCTGAGTGGAAAAGAAAGGAAGGAAGGAAGGAAGGAAGGAAGGAAGGAAGGAAGGAAGGAAGGAAGGAAGGAAGGAAGGAGGAAAGAAAGAAAGAAAGAAAGAAAGAAAGAAAGAAAGAAAGAAAGAAAGAAAGAAAGAAAGAGAAAAAAAAGAA